TGTGCAGCCAAGTAACTTACGAAGCACCCGCCAGGAGCTTGTTGAAACGTTTCATGTCACTGCAGCATCAAGTTGCAAAAATGAGAATTCGGTGGTAGCAGTGTGATGTTTGTCATTTATTTTGTATGACAGCACAACTTACATCAAAGGTACAGCGCAGTGAATAGCTCCAAAGAGATCTGGGCGCATAGTGTACATGTTTCCCACTAGAAGACCACCGTTACTTCCACCTCGGACAGCCAAAGTGGAGGGTTTGCAATAGCCTGAGGCAATGAGATCCTCAGCAACAGCAATAAAGTCTTCATAGGCTTTGTTTCTGTTTTCCTTCAGTGCAGCCTGATGCCACTTGGCTCCAAATTCGCCGCCGCCACGGATGTTGGCTGTTCATTGATAAGAATGAGATGCACCTGAGCTACCCAAGCCAACTAACAACCCTACCAACGAAGGGAAAGTGCAACCACTTACCAATAACATAGACACCTCCTCGTTCTATCCACGCAAGCCCAGGGATGGCAGTATAGTGAGGACCTAGATTAATCTCAAACCCACCATATCCATACAAAAGCTGAAGAAAATCAAGATGTTAGCGAGAGCATCATTTGCCGGCACCACAACAGCAGGAACCTACCGTAGGATTCTTTCCATCAAGAGTGACATCTTTGTTCTTGACCAAGAAGTATGGAATCTGTGTTCCATCCTTGCTAGTGGCACTCCCCTGGATGGCTTCTAGGTTTGAAGAATCAAACTGAGGTGGCAAAGATTTCACTTTCTCAATGGCATACAAGCCTTCACCATCAATTTCACTGTTTTGCACCAAAGAGGCATCAGCAATTTGCAAAGTTGTAGGCTCCAGAAAGCTGCTAGTGGTGAGCCAAAAGCGATCATCATCGACTGCATCAATGGCTGAGATAGACACATCTCGGATTTGCGGTTCCATATCTTTGCCAACACGAACAAAGCCATCAGCTGTGATATTGTAGAACTCGACCTTGGTTTTGACATTGTCTAGAATCATGTGCATGAGGTAGTTCTTGGTTGAGCTAGTGTATTCAGAAGCAGTCCTCTCAGTGGGGGCAAAGAAGACCTTGAACAAACAATCAGTTGGTCCCTTTTCCAAAAATGTCTTGGCATCAACATACAACATGGAGCCCTTGATAAACTTCTGTCCAGGAACAGGCTCCCAGTCGGATCGCAAGGTAATCATAAGCAGGTTGCCAATGAATGATACATCTGCATCATCCTGCACTTGAACCTCCTTAAACTCAGGTGGACTGCCAGCTTTCTCACGGAGTGGGTCATCTGGAGCAAGAAGGTGTTCATAGTCGATGATCCTGGCAAGATACTTGCTTGTGTAAAAGGTAACCGAACGATATCGGACTTCATAGATGGGTCCATTACGAAAGCGCTGATCACTGGTGTAGGCTCCCACAGCAACATCAGTTTTCTCTCCTTCAAAGACAACAGGAGCATCTTTAACATCAGTTCCTCTGACCCATTCTCGAACAGTGCGAGGGTAACCTGAATCAGTGAGACTGTCGGGTCCAAAGTCGCTGCCGACACTCAGCACATCTCTGCTCTTGTAACTGGCCCTAGTCTTGGCCTCGGGCAGATTGAAGGGGTTTTCATTTTCAGGTACAAAGTCTCCCTTGAGAAAATCGAATTCCTTGATGTGCACTGCATCGGATCCACCAGCGACGAGGCCTGAGCAAGCTCTAGTCCACACGTTTGCCACCATCAGACATGGGATCACGAGCTCTCTGCAAAGGAGTGCTACCTTTCCAGACCCAACTAATGTCATCTTTCTTGGACAGTTCATCCAGATCCAGCATTGTCTCCCACTCAGGATTTTCTTTTTTGTAGGATTCCATTGTACACTTTCTCCATAATCCCTTTGGGTTTTCGGCATCTTTCCAAAAGTTGAACAAGAGTTCATTGCCATTTTCATCAAGTCCTCGTTTGGCTGCATAGGGAATTCGATCCTTGCTTTCTAGCACGCCCAGCACTCGATCATAGGTGGGTCCATGTCCCTGGTTGTGGTTGGTTGGTTCTTTTTAAAATCTCATATTACTCATCTATCTTCTCTGCTCTTATTTCAAGATGGATGGGTGAATATGGTGACCCCAGCACTGATGATTGGGACAACTTCTTGCACAAGTACTCACCATACCACAACATTGACACTTCTGTGGAAAAGTGTCCAGCACTTCTTGTAACAACCAGCACCAGAGACGATCGTGTCCACCCTGCCCATGCGAGGAAGTTCGTCAAGAAACTCTGGGACTTGGGCAAGGACAAAGACTGGCCCGTGTACTACTATGAGAACATTGAAGGAGGCCATGGAGGTGCTGCGAACGCAAAACAGTCGGCCTTCATGGATTCACTAGCCTATGACTTCATGTTTGAAACATTGAGCAAGAACGCCAAAGCCTTGTAGTAAGTATCTGTCGCAACAATTGAACGCTGGATTCGAAGCCAGAACTAACTCTATCGTCACCAAACCGATAAGAACAGGGGATCCCTTGCTTGTCCTCTTGGATTTTGCTGGAAGGTGTTGCAACAGTTTCGTCGGCGTTGGGGCGGCCGCTGACTTGTGATGGTGTATCTGTAATCCAACGTTTTTGTTTCTCTCTTCGCAGTGGAGAACATCAATAAGTGAAATGAGCCTTAGAAACTACAGTACTAATCGTTGAACAATTTTATCTTAGCAACTAACTGCAGCAATGACACCAAACGCCAAGCGCCAACCGAGGTCAATCAATCCCAGCATCACGAAACTTTTTCAGCAACGGATCTTCTTCGGACAAGGAGAAATCCATGGATGACATTTGCACATCTGAAGTTGTTTTGGCCGCTATTGTCCTTTGCAGCAGCGTTTCCACTTCTTTTGCTCGCCGTTCAATTGCGGCAACGTTGCTTTCCATGGTTTCCAATCGTTTCTTTGCATCGGCACATTGTATCAGGACTCCTTTCAGCTTGTCTTGCACCTTACTTCGTTCAAAGAGAAAATCTTTGGCTCTCTCTTCGTTCCCTTCGTCCAGCGCTGTTTTTGCTTTTTCATAAAGTGCCGCAGCATCAGAGTCGAGCATTTTAGCAAATGATTGTTGCGTCTGAAGACTATCCTGCGTCGCCTGGAGCCCCTCCATGCTTCTTTCCAGTGCAAGACCGCATTCTTGGGCCGTATCGAGCATTTGCTGGGTAACTCCTAGCCGTTGCATCTCTTCTTTTTTGGCTCTATCCACGGCATTGTTGGCACCCATGTTGGCTCCAATTTGAGCTCCGAACAAGGCCCCGAATGGCCCTAAGAGCATTCCTCCAAGAACAGCACCAGCCACGGTCTCTCCAGCTATAATAGAAAAGGGGAGACACGATGAACACTAATTTTTGTGAGAATTCCAGTCCACGCATGCCTCCAACGCTCTTATTCCTTTCACATCCTTGCATACCTCCCCCTTGTGCTTTTCGTCGGCTGTTTTCTTCTAGATTTTGTTGGATTTTGTTCCGCAAAATTACGTGGGAAGTCTGAGGTTGATGGGGGGCGAGAAACGAAGCTACCTCCTGAAGTCGCACCCCAACCATCAATAGCGGAACTAAAGCCGCTCTCTTCATCATCGTTCTCTGTTGGTTTGAGTTACGATTTCCCCTGTCTTGCTTCTCAACAGCTTGTCGTCGACGATACCTCGTCCTTTGGTTTGGTTTCTTTGGTTTTCGAAAAGTAACTCCACGTGGAACTTTAAAACACGTCATTTCTAGCTAGCTAGAGGCCATGGTGGGAGTCAATCAGCCACAAGGCTCTCTAGCTAGCTATTAGTCCAGCCATCTCTTGTATTCAAAAACGTTTCCTTTGCCTCGTTTGATTGTGAAGACGATGAACTGTTCAACTCGCTGCATACTGTACGGATAGCTCAGATCTCAGATCCCAAAAGCCTAATCCAATGGTCTCGGGAAAGCCCCCCAAAGCAGCACCTTGATGCATTTTCAAAAGTTGCGCATCTTGAATCAATCATTCAATCCTAGAAAACTCCGCCTATCTACGGTAGCCCACGGCGTACAGCAACGCCATGATTCGATTCGCTTAGAAAACAGAATAATAAACAATACCGCTAGTAGTCACAAAAAATGTCATCTCGAAACTGAAGTGCGGTTGCTGCCTACCGGTATGCATCTTTCCTGCAGGATTTTTCCATTTGATCCGAGAAGTCAACAATTGCCAAAGAAAACGACACGGACGGGACCAACAACATCAAGTGTCTTGAACGAGATATGTGATTTGTCAAATCAGAGATCCTGAATCCATTGTGGACGTGGATAGCTGTGGATTGGGTAACGGCACCCAAACATATCTTCGCAGGAGTTGTTGGATGAAATAATTATTCCTTCTTTGTTTCTTTCAGGAATTTTGCTTATTAATGTGAATTGCAATTTTCAGGTCCATTCCAAGAGTTGGCCATTGGATCTCAGCTTTTGAATTTGATTAAAATCTCGCGTCCTTACAAAACCCGGACCTCGCTTGCAAAGAGTAAAATTTCCTTCCTCCTCTCGTTCTCTACCGTAACTGCATATTGCTGGCACAAATAAATTCCCTCTCTCACTCCTTGACAATCTGCCCCCGATGATCCCTTGGGGCTTTTTCTCTGGGTGTCCAGGCACCCTCTTGGAAACTGGTTCGGAGCAACATCTTTCGCTTTTTGGGATCGGAACTCGGACTAAAGAGTGTCACAGCATGCCCTTGAATCTGGACCACCGTAATGCCTCGTTGCAACACCACACTGAGGTCGTACGCCAATTGATGGGCACTCTGGTAGACCAACCGTTTGTCCTCCAAACTCACTCCCCGGACTTGCACCAGTTCGTTGTCGTCCAAATCTTGACACACTCTTTGCAAAAATTCGTCAAAACTGTCGTTATCATTCTCGAAGGTGCGCTGCACTAGAAGCTTTCGCGCCAGTCGTTTCGAGGCTTCCTTTCGCAACGTCTTGATCTGATTGGGACTAATGCCACGTCGCTCACTTTCTTCGGGTTCCACAATGGCGTTGGGGTTGACAGACAACGCTGTGTGGCTGTGAATGTGACAGCTTCCAACCACCGACTGTGGAAGCACTTGAAAACCAGCCGCCAACAGCGGCAGCAGGGCATACCATAGAAGCGAGAGGGAGCCCTTTGTCATCATACTGTCTCTTTTATGAAAGAAGTGGGAGTTCAGGATGGAACAAATCGGAGAGTTGTGATGGGCGTCAAGCGTGGAGGGACCAGTTTGGGTGGTCGTCGAGAAAAGCCTTAACCTTACCCGAATGCTTTGGATCTTTCAGACCCGTTTGCTCAACCCTCGTGAAGGAAGGTGACGTGATGTGTTCGCTGTCACCCTTTGGGAATCCTCCCCACCCTCCCATCTAATCTGCTCTGGAGTGGTACTGTAACGGTACGTACTGTTGCATCTGTAATGAAGACAATGAGCTTGGGCCTGGAACACCTTTACCAACGCCTGCCATTCAGTGGAGACCATGGTCAAATGGTGGTGGTGGTTCCTGCTGCCATTGCCACTGTTGGCGCCAGCAGCATCTGCTTGGCAGTCCGAAATGCAGACAAAAAGAGACATGACTTTAATGAGTCGGACTGGAAAGTCAGCGGCTTGCCATGGCCAGCCTTCTTTGTTCGATGCATCAATGTCATACCAGGATTTGCCTCCTTCATACTTCCTATTCTGAAGTACTTGGTGATTCAACCTGCCCTCCGAAAGAGCATTGCTACAATGGAAGAAGCGGATCGTCAGAACCTTGTGCCCAAGATTTTATGCAACCAAACGGCACGCAAGGAAATTCAAGAACGATTGGATCACTTCTATGAGGATACATACAAAAGTCTTACTTTGACACAGTTTGCAAAGGTCATTAGTTACAGTAAGTTATGAGAGCCTAGGCTGTGAAGGCGATGGTGAGCACAACTATCTAAAAACCACAAATATACATGTATGTGATGGTACATGTATGTTTCACCATCAAAATCAAATGCAACAGGTAATGCTTTTTTCTGCCTGGAAAATCATGCGGGGTTACTGAAGTTGGCAATGTGTCCTGAAGTCCAGCAAGAACAGGTTGACAAACCTGTGTTCATTGCATCATTTGCCCGAACTGGAACTACCATCTTGCACCGGACAATGTCACTGGACCGAGACCAATGGCGTAACTTTGATTTTGGTGACATGTTCTGCCCTCTTCCTCAACCAGCAGCCCGGTGGGATACCGCCAATGGGCGTCCAAAGAAAGCTAAAATGACCAAGGCAATCATAGATATTGCCCTTGTCTATTTCTACCCTGGTTGGATGAAGTGTTTGGAAACCATGCATGGGATACGACCCAATGAAGCCGATGAGGATTTGTTATGGTACAGTTGTGCCATGGGACATCCCTACATGGAGACACTCATTCGACTGTACCCAGAAGCAAGACAATACCCAGAAGGAATGTCCCCATTGGAAAGCAAACAAATGGCCAAGTACAAGTATACATGGATCAAAATGATGATGCAGTTGCATCAATGTATTGACAAGTCCACATGGCCAGACAGCAACAATATGCCCTGTCCAGATCACCCTTGGCTGTTGAAGGACCCCAACCATACGGCCTATCTACCAGAACTGCTTGAAGTGTTCCCGGATGCTAGACTGATCTTTACTCACCGCCCACCAGCAGAGATTGTCCCCTCAATGGCAAAAACCTGGGTTCTTGTTGTGTTGCCGGAATTTGTCCCTGGCAATCCAGGCTCATCATCTGCCGAAATTGGAGCTGAAGTGGTGACAAGAGCAAAGCATTATGCCGATGGTATTGTCAGCTTTACCCAGGCACAATCCACAGGTAGTTCACTGGCCTTTTGTGCTGCTGCCAAGTCAAAGGAAGAGATGATGAGAAACACCACGGACTGCGAGAAACGCCAGCGAATTGACTTTTGGTTTGGTGATGTTGTCGCAGATATTCCTGGAACCATTGAGAAGGTCTATGCTCACTTCTTGGGTATCCAGCCATCTGAAAAAGCCAAAAAGATATTTGTCCAATACTTGGAAGTCAACGAACGAGCCAAGCTTGGAAATCAACGTAGATCTCTGGAAGATTTTGGGTTGACCAAAGAGGGCATGGACCAGGTTTTTCAGAGCTATAATGAGATGTTTCTGAACAGGGGCTTGTATGGATAGACAAATCGAGCAAGACACCAACAATTCAATGTAGCAGTCTTCTAACGTAGTCTGTCTATTTTTGACGCACGTAACCTATCCATTACTGTACTTTTTCTGGCAATCTAGCTATCCGACTTAATCAAAGAAAACTGGCAATATAACACGGGCTTGACAGGTTCCGAAGGCTGCCAGTGCCGGAACAGAACCATTTGATAGTTTTGCCTCCAAACCTTTGCCACTAACATGGCCATAATTCTACCTTGATGGACTAAGCCAAAACGAGACCAACTTCGAGGTCAAGCAAATTCTTTGGTGGTTGCACACCATTTGAGTGAAGCCGTGCTGACTGAGGTGCAATGTCAAAGACCGTTAAAGTCTCGATGTGAGGTCTCGTGAATGTTGTGTAGCCTCCAATCCTAAACTCGAGTATTTTCTTCCCTTCGGACACAAGCACTCTGTCCGGTGGACTCCAATGAAAAACGCCTGATTGATTTTCTTGATCTGCACACGTTGCGGCCTCTATAACATCCTTCATGTTCGTGGACGGGTCAAGAACCCGCAGCGCAATTGCCTTGTCGAATCGTCGAAATTGGAAAATGATACCTTCGTTGCCCTCGGACGTCTCTCGGTCTTTTTCTTCACCCCTGACTACGACGGGATCATCTTCCGAGCCACTACCAACAGTACTGCTCCTGACGACCGATGGGGCTACGATGGGATCTTCAACCAGTCGAACACGTTGTGACCCTGGCAAGCTAGTCGTACTTGCTGGGATTTCATCGTCAGCTTGGATTTGAGAATCTTGCTGTGCCCGGATTGGCTCCGGCAACGCAACACCGATCGAAACCTCCTGATTTGAGCATGCAGATCGCTTGCCATTTTCTTCCTTGTCCGAACTACCCTTGGAACCCCCAGGATTACTTTGTAGAGAACTAGCTGTATTGCCGTTCTGCTTCGTATCTTGCGGATGCGATGCGCTAGCGCTTGTCGTCGAGCTGTTCTCTGTTTCCACAATACTGGTAGGCGCGGCTGGCCAGTTTCCTGCCGACGCCGAGGACAGTGGTGACCCCCACGGCGTTTGTCGAACCATTCGTTCTGCCTGGAGAGCCAAAGAAACATATCGTATATTGTCGTCTGGTTTCAATTCGCGCAGTGGAGCCTTGTCCACCCAAGGCCGAGGGACAGTACTAGTAAGATCACCGCTCCTTGGGTTTAGTAGCATCCCCAGCCGCAGGTTACATTGGACAGACAGAGAGGCATTATGAATCACAAGATAGGAGCCTATGAAATGACTATGTGGTTGCCATTGTTCCCAATCCCAAATGTCTGTGTCATTCTCATCATTCGATCCATACCGTTCCTTCAGACGTGCTAGCATTGCGCGTGGCGCCAACGAAGAAAACTGTGCTAGTTGTACATGGTTCATGGAGGAGGTTTCATCCAGTAGGATGGAAAGTAAACCAAGGCGAACTCGGCAGTGTAGATGAACATCTTCCTGAGACTGAGAAGGGACTGTAGATGTAGTATCCTCTTGGCTGTTGACCGCAATAGTCACCGTTCCCGACTCATCAGTAGACGAAGTTTCTGTCGTTGCTTGTGGCCTGCCAATAGTACGCGCGACAACAGTGCGCGTCATGCCGAGGCTTGGTTTCCTGTTTTTGCTTCCCTTTGGTCTACCTCGCTTCTTCCGCGGGGGAAGCTGTACAGCTGGACTCTTCTTGTTTTTGCTTCCCTTGGGTCTACCTCGACCTCGTTTCAGTGGCTGCTCAGTTGCCTGGCTATCATTAACAATATTCTCTTTGGAAACTTTCTCCATACTGCGTTTTTCAATCCTAGTGTTTGCTGGCTGAGGGTGTTTATCAGCGGCAATTCCACTTGCGAACGCTTCCAAAGCATTGTTTTTGGCATCTTGGTCCACGCTGGTTGTTGCCTCTAATGCGACAGCGTCGAGGGGTAGAACTGGGGCTTTGTGAGTGCATGGATCCTGCAGCCAATAAATCGCATTTTGGCTTTGAACCCAGTACCCACGGTGACTTTTCGCTTGACTGACCACCCATCCCTCAAGCTTTGTGATGGCAACAAATTTCTTTGGGGGCAGCTTCCTCTGAGTCTCCGTGTTTTTCGGAGAAGCCCAGCCATAGAGCACCAAATTTGGAGGAAACTTGCCGCACTCTGGCAATGCGATTCTTGGACAATGAGAAAAGACCAGAGACTGTTTCAGCTTTCGGTTCACTTCAGCACATTCCGGGTTTTCGGGCAATTCGTTGGGCTGAACAAGATACCACTGACTGAGGAGTCGTTGAGGCAAACTTTCATCAAGTTGGCTGCCGATCTTAATACCAACCATTCCCTGGTTTTGGGTCTGCTTAGTAGTTGGACTACGAGACCCATCCTGGAAAACCTGAGATACCTGAAGAGGACAAGGAGGTGGTGAGCAACCTGACAATGGTACGGTGTTCAGTGGTCACTTTCTCCCATTAACCAAAGAAAGCTGCCACTGAAACATGGCACTTACTGTAGCCTCGTCACAGACCTCTTCAGGAAATGAAAGAGGAGATATCATCTTTGATGTTGTGGTTACTACATTCAAAGCACAAAGTATGGACTTCATTCATGGATTATGGATCGGAGCGGAATCATAACATTCAATCATTGGCTTCTCCAAAAAACCGGAGCGAGCAAGGCAATTCAAATTTAACCCAGGAGAGCGGCTAAAATGACGGGGTGTTTTGGTACGGTGACGAGACAACGGGTATGCATACCGGTACCAGTACCAGGTACGGTACCACCGGCACCTGGTACCGGTCCAGCACTTGCTTGTAGACCCACGATATCGGTAACTACATGTAACTATTTAATAGCTAGCTAGATACACTCCTACCTTGACATTAAGAGAGCCGGAGATAAGATGTCGAGTACTGAGATTTGCTAAAATGTTAAGATAATTGAGACACTCAGATCGGCACTAGAGCTAAGATAGCCAGTAAGCACTCTCCCTTGGGCACATTGGAGATTGAGAGATGATACAATGGCACTTTTCTACAACAAAATGCTTTAGAAACAGGTACCAAAAGTAAAAAATTTCACCTCCGGCGGATGATACACTGCTCTTTCCTCTCTTCTCCTAGGGGTATGTTCGGTAAGGTGGAAATCAGAGTAGCAAGCTTGGTATGTACCATACTACTAGTATGGTCATTAGAAATGCCAAGAAAGCTAAGATGTTGCCTTTGGACCCTGAATTTTAACAAAATGCTAAGAAGATTCTCAGTGCAGATATTTGAGTTTTTGCTAAGATGCCTTCAGGGTTCAGGTGAATTTAGAGATATCTTAATATCAAGGTAAGAATGTAGTAGAGCGACAGTCGAGTAAAAGAGTTGATTAGACGAAATGAAAACAATGAGACGCTATTGATTTATCTTGTGCTTGGTGCCCGCAATTCAGCCAGGAATGAACACCTGTTGAGGTCGTGGCTTCCATCTGTGGATAACCGATGGATGAAAGGGCAACTTGATGCCGGTGGGCAGATTATTTCAGAAGGATCGTCTCGAAGTAGCGGGAGAGGCACACAGGGAAGGAAGGAAGGATAGAAGAGTTCAAAAGAGAGCGTTCCGGGATGGAAGTAAGCAACTGAACCGGAACCACGTTTCAGGCCAAGCAACTGAGCACCAATTTCTGAATGCGTGCGCAGTTGGGTTCCTGTCAGTGGCCGGGGAACATTGGGAGTTGACCACTGCAGTGGTGACATCAGACCCCTTTGTGGGGCTTCACTTCAACATTGGCTTTTGCTGCAAGGATCTTTGCAGGCAGCCAGTGCGTCAATGATACCTGGTATCTGTGAAATGCCACACCAATGCCCCCGGAGCTAGGCGACGACGATAGATGTCTGTAGCAGGCTCTGCCCGAGCTGCGTGGGTCAAGACGATGCACTTCACTTCATTCTGCTTGCTTCGCCTGAGCAACGGTGTACAACTTGTACCCCTCGCTTGGAGGACAAGATGTAGGTAAGTATTGGTACCGGTACTAGGGATCCATTATGGCTGGGGGTTCCATGTAGGCAAGCGAAATCGAGGCAGCGAGTTCAGGTACGCTGCTCCTGATGTCAGCTTGATGCTGGATCACCTGAAATTTGAGATGAGGAAGTAGTTAAGATGGCCGGGCCTTCCCAGATCGGTCCGGTTATTTGCAAAATGCACTTTCTTGTGTTGCTTCTACGAGCATCGAGACAGGACCCAACTGAATCGCTGGTCTTTTGAGACGCTCAGGTTGATCAATCCTTACTGACGTGCTAGTCGAGGCAGTTTAGAAATCCTGTGGAGCGGAAGGTGATCTCTGGGTCGAAGAAACAACATGGGGTCAGTTCAGCGATCATATTTCAATAGGAGATCTCGTATTTGATCCGGAGCGACCTAGAGAATAGATCTGACGTTCTCGCTACATCAAACTGTCGGTATAATCATTGCTCACCGGAAGGCCCAGAGCCATTCAAAGTTTTCCTTCCCCTGTAGACAGTACGGAGTTCCCTGCCCCCTACGTTTACTTATTGGTTTGTTTGGCGCTTATCACTTTTGCTAGATTACAAACAATGGGATGTTCTGATACAGTATCCAGAAGAAGGAGGGTATAGAGTAACGCGTCTTCCAAAGCCGCCACCCGAAAATGTTTTCTTGAATACATCATCCACATCTCTCATCTATCCATGAAACATAGAAGTCTATTTGTTGCGTATTTGGTGCCATTGAATTTGTCTGTGCGGTGTACGTGTGTTTGTGATTGTTTCACGGAAGTGTTTCCATGTGTTTGTATTTGGTGTATTACACAGAATCGAATCAATGGCACTTGCCTGCTTTTATTATTCCACAAGCACCTTTTGCCAGTCATAGTTTTGGCTGTGATTGTGTCTCTCCAGCAACTCGACCAAGTCTTGGTTGGCTTGATGAAAGAACGTCGCCAGCATATTTCTCGTTGAATTATGGAGTGGATCAGTCAAGGCATTGTTGTAATTGAACTGTTTGTGCAAGAGTTCGTCACTCAAAGTGTGTGTTGGCATACCCACCAGTTCCAAAATGGCAGAGTACACTTGCTCTGGTTGTGTTTCCAAGTATGGGAAGGGAAGGACCAGCAGATCATCTCCCAATCCATGGCGAAACCAGCGTTCGAGTTGCATCGCATACAACCCTCTGGAGAGGTAATTGTGTCCCTTGAGTTGATCGGATACTTGATCAAACAGTTTGTCGAGTTCAGGAAGAGAGAGCTGTTCTTGTTTGCTCCCTACTATGCTAGTTGTTGGATCGGAGTCTTCGTCGTGTGCCACAAAGAGCCCCATTTCGCGCAATAGTTTGATTTCCCTGGAAATAAAGTCTTCGAATGGGACATGCTCTTCCCTCATCATTCGCTGTCCCATGCGATAGTGCGAGTAAGCACGCTCCACTGGGTTGCGCAAGAGAACCACAATCTTGGGTCTCTGCTCCGACTCGGCAAAGAGAGCCCGGATGAGCGCCGGCACTCGAGAAGGATAGAGGTAGTCGGGTGTCTTGTCAAAGGTGTAGTGGCGTTCATGCATCATACTCTTGCCTCGAGTACTACTGCTGGTACCATCTCCTCTTTTGTTGTGTGTTGGAGACAATGCTGGCCATTGATGCAGATATCGCTTTCGAAGTTCACAAATCAAATTGTCCTTCTTTTCGTGTCGGTTGCTGCCACTGCTGCTGCCTTCCAGTAGAGGCTCAAATTCTCGCGGATGAATGCCAGTGGTAAAGAAATGACACTCCCATTTCTTGGTCGGCAATACTTTGGGGTGATCTAGTAGCCAATGCGCCAGCGTGGTAGTGCCGCATTTGGGAGCTCCGGCAATGATCAAATCTGGCACCTGCGGCAACTGCACTTCAAATCCGGAACCCATGCGACATGAGAATTGTTGTGGTTGCTCCTGCTCTTCTGTTGTTGCGGTCCACCAATACGATGCAGCGCCCAGCCGATTCTTTTGGGTCTCGCCGTATTCAACTTGCGCCGTCAACACCAAAATGACGGCGATCAGCAGACAAACGCCGCCCACCAAGCGCCCACAAGAGCAATCAAAACAAGGCAGGAACCGCCAACGAGTCTCCTTTCGATTCATCACACTACATGGCAGTTCTGTTTCATTCTTGATGATTGGCTCTTCTTCTGCTGTAGCAATGTCGTGAGGAGTCGGAAGGTTTTGGTGGGCGGCCATGGTCATGGAGTGGTACCGTTGTAGCGCTGCTTGAAAAGAAGTGAGGTGAAAACAGCGAAGGAAGAAAAGGTTTCCTCGCTGTTTTCGAATCGAATCCCGAAAGCAATCTTGCTTCTGACACAACTTTCTGCAAGCGCGCGCCCACCTCATTTTTTTGAAAAAGAGAACCGAACCATCAACTTTGGCTTCTCAAAGTCCCGAGGAGGAAAAGATTGCTGAGAAGACGAACACAAAAACAGCAATACACTCGACATCTCCACATCTCTACCAAAAGCTAGACTAGTCAACCAAGTCGAAACAATGGCATTACATCATCATCAAAGAAGAATTCAGAAAGACGTTGCAGTTATCCTGATATCGGTGCTGCTCTTCCATGTCCGCTCCTCAACGGGCTTTGTCAATCCGTCAGCAGCTGTGTTCCTTCATTCTCCCACGTCCCTCGAAAATGATACCAACATGAGAACAATGTCCCTGAAAAGCACAAAGAGCAAACTTTCCTTGGAAAATCATTCAATGGAATCATCACGAAGAAATGTGCTTGCGTCTGTCTCTGCTTGCATTGTTTTGACCCTCACGATGCCCAAACACGTCGTGGCAGCAATGACGGAATTGAAGCCAGAAAGCAACGAAGAGTTTCAGTTTCAAGTCACCACAACCCTTCCAAACGGATTGAAAACAGAGGCGCTTGGTCCCCAAAGCACACTCGTCATTACAGTCAAGCCTGCTGTTACTTATACCAGCCAAGTCCCAAAGAATGTGGCGGATGCGGCCTTGTCCGAAACCGGACATTGGGTTCCAATCGTGCTCAAATATCAACAGGCGTGTGGCTCCAAAGAACTAGCGTCGCAACAAGAAATGGGCATGATCACCACCACACTTACACCCGATCATGTCACTCCACAGGCTGGAACCAATCTGGAATGGTGGAAAAACCTGCCGCTAATTGTCACGGCTACATTGGAAGGCGACGACGAAATTCCAGATCTTGTGGGATGCCGCATCATACCCAACATGGGTGGAATTGTACCCAACCAGCGTGTCACCATGCCTCTTCAGCGACGAGGGCTCTGTTCGGAAATGATGGATCGGTCCAAACAGTATGGATTCTTTCGCGAGGCTAGTAGCTAAACGCACCACATGCTCGCCACATCCAACCGCATCAGGCAACCAAGACTTCAATAGTTCATTGAAGCACCCCAGAGACGAATTATGCTACGTATTACCCAGTATTCATTTTGGCTTGACGAGGCCAAGATCACTTTATAATTAAAAGAAGACAGCTTTCAGATGCAAAATTACTAGTACTACATCATCACCCGCACCTCAAGAGATCCATTCTGTCGGGCAGCTATGGAGGCAACCTAGCCCACCAACGAGAGCCAAGGTACCACCGCCCAAAATAGTCCTTGACACTTGTTCAAAACACAGTACTACAGGACCGTACATGTAGATGCTGATGAGCCTTAGCACGCAAAATTAATGCCAATTGAAAATTTTGTTTCAAATTTGATTTTGAACAAATGTTGAAATGGGGAATGTCTCTGCACGGGCTGACCTATTATGACCACACTATAAAAGCTACCCGCAAGAAATATATATTGACGTGCTAGCTAGAAGTCCACTTATGATGAAAATACTAGCTAGCCAGTTCTGACTTCTCCAAAACGAGTATGCATAGAAGAATCTTTGAAAAGAGTTCAGTTTTGGCAGAGATATGAGCATGAAGGCAACATTTGGCATGTTGAGGGCTTGAGGGTACCGGTACTAGTACTAGTACGGCACCGTGGCACAGGGTACAGCTATACCGGTAGCATTCAGTCCATTTTCACGGCAAGAGCTACTAGTACTTCGTCATAACCAAACCCCCATTTTCAAAAAAGAATTGTGACAAAAGGTTGGTGTTTTTGTGGAATAGTCTAGTGAGCCCTGATAAGCGCAAACAGGCTGGCAAACAGGCTGGCAACGTTCCTGACAACCAACCAAATGATCAGTCCGGTACCGGTACGTAGAATCCCGACTGGACTCGACTCCAGTCCGTCAGTTTTGTGAGATGCTGTGTCGATTCGAGAGCAACCCCGCGACGAGAATTAAGTGTCCACCTCGGTCCCATGAAATAGATGAGATCGTCCGACGAGCAAGGCAGTTCCAGAATTCAATTGCTGCTCCAAGCACAACGAAAGCTTGTCAAAAAAAGATTTCATGTATCGGTACGGCTACCTCCCTTTTTCTTGCTGTCACGTTTGGATCAGCACCACAATCTTTTGCATATCCAGAGTCCCCACAACCTTCCAGCTTCTGGAAGCATACATCAACACCCTTTCATCATGCTGGTGAAACCTATGCCCAACATGATTGCCTTGGGGCGCGGGGGAATGGCCAACAACCACGGTAAGGGATGTACTTTGTTGGCGTGACACTGCCTGTTTGTGTTGTCATCAGTTGAGAAACGGAAGGGGAATGCTCTTTTTCGTCCGATGCGGTCTTTCTCTGCTGTGCTGGACCATGATGCACCTGCCCCCCTCACGCGCGAGCGTTTGCCTGTCTGGAAGTTGGCAACAAGGAATACAGAACCATCATTGCCCGCCACAAGACTGCCTATCTCGGCGCAAAACGTCGTAAGGACAAGCATGTCATTGTCAAGCAAGTCTTCGTCCAGCTCAAGGAGAGAGGCTTCACGTTTGTTGAGAAGATTGGTGAGTCTTGGGTCGAGGCATCGACAAAGAGGTCTCGAGGCAAGGTCGTCCAGGCCCTACGTGAAGGTGCCCCCACTCTCAGAAAGGGAAAGAAGACTGAGGACCTCGCCGCCACCGGTACTGTCACAGAGCAAGGAGCTCCCGCCACCGATGGTGACGACGACAACAACGACGCTTGGGTCGACATGATGTTGTCTCAGAATGACGAGATGGAAGTGGACCATTGGAAGCAGCTCTTTGATCAGGATTCCTTGCCTCTGTTGCCGTGCATATCGTTTGAAGCGGAGGAGGATGCTGGTTGGCAGGAGGTCGATTCCTTTCTACGGGTCCTCGACATGTACATGTAGATGGCTAGCTAGAGGCCATTCGATCTCCGTCTCTGTGGTGCATGTTCAGAGAATGGCTGAGGCTACCAACGATTGTTGCTACAGCTGTAGTTTAGCTGATGTAGGGAAATTTCCTATGAGTAGTGTGCTTGTTATTTACACTAAGTCTTGATTTTTACCATGGAAGGCGTCCCTCTGCCCTCCATGTTGCAACTGAAACAATGGAAGCAGCGAGGACCTCAACAGTTACCAGGGGATGATGCACGCCTTAAAGTCTACAAACCGGAATCCCACAGTGGCATCTGTGGTCTCAACTGCACGTAACATGCCAGACACACTTTCTGGAGTATCAATGAGACCTTTTCCTCCAGTCATATCCGTCCTCACAAATCCGGGATGCAACAAGACCACCGAGGCCTCGCCTGCTAGATCGACGCTGAGACTCTTGGCAATGTTGTTCAAGGCACTTTTACTGGATCTGTACGCATAGGTACCGCCACTAGTGTTGTCATAGACACTTCCCACCTTACTTGTCAGAATGGAGTAAACTGGAAGGTGTTTCTCGTCGCTTCCTGGTGCTGGACCCATGAGAGGCGCAAATGCCTGTGCTACCAACAAGGGGCCCACCGCATTGACCAAGTAGGTTGTCATCATATCTTCCTTTGTGACGACTGGCTGGGGTGGTCTCCCTCCACGGGAAGTGCCGTCAAAGCTCATCCCTTTCATGTATGTGCCAGCGCTGTGAATGACATGAGTCAAGGGTCTGTCTCCGAGTCGAGCCTTCAGTTCCTTCGCAGCATTAGCAATGCTTTCTTCATCGCCAACATCTAGTGAGAGTGCTTCAATGTTGTATCTTGTATCGTCCATGAAAGTTTTCAGATCTGTCGAGATATCGCTTCCTCGATGAGTGGCGATCACCGTGGCACCCCGACCTGCACATTGGTGCACGAATTCAAGACCGATCCCTCTTCCACCACCGACGACTAGCACCGTCGAACTTTCTGTGATTGGGTTTCGAACCGGCTGCTCTTCCTTGATGTCCTGTCCTGGGATCCCATTTACAGGAGTTGCTGCTTCGATTTTGGATTCCATGCCGTTCGTTGTGGTACCGGTAGCGCTCAAAGATGTTGCACCAGTTCCAACTGTTGACAGATTCTTGATAACGCTCGTCTTGTGGGTTGGTGGCAGCGCTGCAAAGGCTACAGTTGTAGCTCTGGGGAAAATAAGGACAGCGGCTACCGAAGCTTGCCTCCACAAGCGACACAACATGGTTATTGGACGTTGCAATAGAAGAAAAATGATGTTGGCGGAGTCAGAGCGGCATCGAGCGAGGGTGAAGACGCGAAGACGTTTCGGAGTGAATGTTCACGTCGCCTCGCCACTGACGTGAGTGCATGACTTCAAGTCATGAGACAAACGTCATATTGAAATCCATTTCGACACCCCGACGGATTGATCATTCGATTGCATGATTGAATCATTCGATTCGATTCAATCATTTTTAAAAACGTAGAAAGGTTGCCCCATGGGTTCCACTACATGTACTTTCCTTCTGGCTGAGCTCATGCACGTTTATACCAGGCAGAGCTGCGAAAGCAAGCCTTCACTAATACCGTATCTCCCGCCCCTCCATTCCAAGTTTACAAAAAGGTGGATTTCTGAAAGGTCAAAAGAACCGAACTTTATGTCCGTACAGATGGAAACCAAAGGGCCGGAAATCACTAATCAAGCCGAAACCAACATATAAGATCCAAACCAAAATATAAAGTTGAAACACAAATATTATTACAAAATCGAAACACAAGTATGAATCAGAATTTGGTCCATTTCGGGCCCTTTCAACCAGCGTGGAACGTTGCAAGTCAGAAGCCTTCTGAATCCTTCTGAGTTTTCATCCGAAAGGCCTAAGATACCAGTATATTCTCTAAAATCTCCTTTTTAAAAGTTATGCCTCGTTTTCCACAAATATTTTGGCCCAAAAATCATTTTTCCAAGTCTTATGGGTTATTTTAAAAGACGTGCTGACGAACTGGTACCAATCGCGCTGACAAAACTGACAAACCAACAACACGCTCACAATGTTCAAATTGCAAAACAACAAACCCAGCATCAAAATGTATCTTACAAACTCCCTTCCGATTTTTGCCATCCTTGGATGTCAAATTGCCGTGAAGGCTCAAAAGAGCTACAATGAGCTCCTCCGAACTCCCAGCAACTTCGCAACTATGTCAGAAGCTGTCTATTCCTGCGAGTTCACAAACCTTTGGTCCGAAGCGAGGCACCCCAACTTATATCCAGGAAACGCCCACTGGAGCCCTCCAGTCTTGGGTGCTCATTCCAATGGATACTCCATGTGGGCTTCTGGGGCTCTTGCCAGTCCAGGCGTAGAATCTGTGGCAGAGGTACGCGAGGAGGACGAAACTAATGTTGTTTGATTTCTTTGTCGCTTCTTGTTATTCGTCATTGACATTCTTTCTGCTGCTCTCTTTGTTGATAGAGGGGTGCCGTGGGAACATTGCTTGACGAGTTTGTGGCTGCCAATGATTTGACAGGTGATATTGTCACTGGCGATGTGACATTCAATAACGTAGTCAATGACCAAGTCCTAGACAACATTGTCGTTTCTCATGAGCATCCCTACCTTTCCAGCATTTCAATGATTGCTCCAAGCCCTGATTGGTTCACTGGCTTTTATGATTATGATCCACGCAGCAGCAATGGCAATTCCTGGGCGCGAGATTTCATTCTTCTTACCTACCCATGGGACGCTGGAACCGAACAAGGAACTGGATATAGTCTGGGGAACGCTGCTGAGTCCCCTCACAAGCCTATTTCCCAGTTCACAACTGAAACAGTGCCAGCAAATGGAATCTTCCTCAACAGCACAGGTGATGAAGTGCTTCCAATTGCCTCATGGTGTTGTTCTTTGGTTACGGACGTGATGATACCCCCAGGACCCCGTGTTGGTGGACCAAACCCAGAAACCATGGGCTTTCCCTGAGCTTTTTCTCGCCTCTTGGAACTAGCCAAAGATAGCTCCCCTGTGCTTTTGCTCGTCTCTTCGAAGAGAAAGATAAGATCTAGTCACCAATGGGTCCAAACAAATTTGCCTGGAACCTCTCCCTCTTTTTCACCTCGAAACCGCTGTTTCCCCAGATCCAACTGGAGTTGCTCGTGTGTGTTCTTAATCATTCGTGCTGTTGGATCTTTCTTTGCGCGACCAAATCTTCTCTGATCATTCGATTCGCTACAGTACTAGTACGGCACCGGCTGGCTTCCGTAGATATTTTCCCTGCTCTAATCCCCCCTTATATATATAACTAGTACGGCACCAAGTTCTGGTGGTACATGAAGCCCTCTAGCTAGGTAGCCACAAATAGCTGCGGTGAAGTTTCTGATCTGTGATCCACTTCTGCGGCTCTCAACTCGCTCATTATCTGAGGCACTTGACTGCAATACGAGTTACGGTATCCGAACATGCTCTTGCGTTGCGCTGCTTTCATCACGTCGGTTTTGGCGGCCGCTGTTAATGCCGAGGCAGCAGACAGTCGAATCTTTATTGATGGTGGACGCTTGGTGGGAGGTACCAATGGCGGTAAGTTCTGGCCCCAATTTCGGAGGAAGATCGAAGGAACTAAACAATTATAACTTTGAGTTTGTTGCTTTGTGCTTTACTTGTAGTGATATTCGACTACAACAATGAGTTGCATGCCTGTCAGTCGCTTGGGCGTCAAATATCGAAAGTGGATCCAGAAACTGGAGACATCCTATCTTCGATTGGGCCCGAAGAAGAGGTGTTTACACCGGACGACGCTGTCTTCTTACCAGACGGCACAATGGTACGTTCCTGTTTGCCATTGATGTGACGAGGTCCAAGGTCCAATTCCATTCACCCTTCTCTTTAGATCTGGAGCGAGTTCATCTTGGGAACTTTCATGATGCGCCCGCCAGGAGGTCCCACCGAAATGCTCTATCCGCCCTTCACCTACCCCAACGCCAACCCACTCGCTCTGTCAGACGACAATACGCGACTCTTCTTTGGGCAGTGCTTTAACGAGGTGTCTCTCAATGGCATTTACGAACGCAACCTGTTGACAAACGAAACTACTATCATCATTGAGGGAATCCCCTCTTGCTCGTCCAACTCCATGGCCTTCAAGGAGGATGCTCTCTACACTCCCCGGTAAGCTTTCGAGAGCCTTTGAATGATTTGATCAATTGCGTCTGACTTTTCCAATGGTCTTGGTGATTTTTGCACTCACGGGCAAAGACTGTACGAGGGCCGTGTGGTGAAGATCGATTTGGCAAACAACAATACCGTCACGAACGTTTCCACCGGCTTGGGTATTCCTAATGCTGTGAAGTTTTCTCGTACAGGCGAGCTCTACGGAACAGACTCCCAGTTCGGTAAAGTCTACCGATACGATCTCGCCAACACAGACACCGAAAACAACCGGGAAGTTGTCTTTCATGGTCCATTCAATGCCATCGATAATCTCATCTTTGACAATAACAACAGGCTTTACATCAGCTCAGTCAACAGAGGAACAGTCCTAGAAGTCTTTCCTGATACCATGGACACGGATGCTGGAGAATTGATGACGCAGCGCGATGGTACTATTGGTTCCTATCGCACTGTTGTCCCGGGCACCTTCACCTTACCCTGTGGAGTGGCTGTGCTTGACGGGTACGTTCCTTCTGCTCTCCTCTTGTTGCAACGATCTCATTGGCGTTTCTTTGTAGTGTTGTGTACTTAGTTCATCCTAACGGAGCAATGGGCTTCGATGCTGTTACTGGCGAAGAAGTCCTGTTCTTTGAGCCAGTGATTGGCTTTGACTCATTGGAACAGCCCTCAGCTGTCGCCGCTTGGGAAGAAAAGGGTTTGCTTTTGTTCCCCTCGTTGCTCACAGCCACTCTGTCATTGTTCGATCCATCGGATGAGTCATTGGAAGTATTGCACTTCACGGCTCCAGTTGCCGATGCTCATCCGCATGGCGATGATATCCTCGTGGTAGATGCTACTGGCAACATTACTTTGGTCAAAGGCAGCAACTATGAAGAGAAGGAAGTCATTTCCACTGTTCCTGGGGTCTTTTTCTTGGCAGGTTCGGATCAGGATGTGTATGCAAGCAACTACTTCACAGGAACAATTCTTCAGATCATTGAAAATGGGAAGGTACTCGAGGAACCCAAAGTGATATCAACGGGGCACTCGGCACCCGAAGGCATTGCTTTGTACGGTGGTGATAGTCTTTTGGTCGTCTGCTCGGGTACGGGGACGCTCGAACATGTGGTCCTTGAAACCGGTGCAGTAACAGTGTTGGAAAACAACTTGAGCTTTCAAGCCCCTGCTGACATTCTACCGTACGGTTGGCCGAACGATGTTGCCATCCATGGAGACAACGCTTTTGTAAACGGAGATGGCGTGAATGCGATCTACCGGTTTGAGCTCTCAGGAGCCAATACACCCGAAGGCGAAAAGTTGGATGGCACTGCTCTTGAACCCGCTGAATCTCCAGGAGAAGAGGAAGCTCCGTCTTCGTGGGGCTTGAAGAGGTTTGAGCCCACATCACCTTTTCTCTCGATCTGGATTGTCGTTGCTATTTTGGTTTGAACGCTGCCCTGATATGCCGTAACACACTAGTCGACTCTTATGTAGAGCCTGAATGTCCCGTTATGTTGCATCCTGTAGTGATAACGCATACCAGTAACCAACAAAAGGGCCAAGATGCACCCAAGCAACGATTCAAACAAGTTACTTTGTCGCTCTGTATGTGTAGCGTACAAATCCTCGAAAGCACCAGTGTGTGGCGATTTGTCTTGCCCGCCGTGCCGTGCTTTGCTTTATTGTGCACTCCCAAAGAAGCCACGGATGGCGTAGATTTATTTGAGGTCCCAGGTTCCTTTCGTGGACATGCGATGTACAGTAGCGGTGTCCCAAAGACCAGAACTTCGGGGGCATTTTGTTGGTTCCTTCTTCGTCAAGGTGCCAGCGCTGATATGATAGTCTCTACATGACACTGGCGAGTGTCATCCAACCTCTCACATAGTTTCTTCTGTTGCCGTTAAGAAACTATCCAGGTCAAGATGTTGCAGGTCCCATTGCTACCGCTAGCGGTACCGGCATCTACTACTCGAGTACTGGCTACCGTACCAGCGCACTACGGTATCATACCTTCGAGGTTCGACCTCCTCCGAGTACCGGTACACTGGTATTTCAGTGCTCCCAGTTCCGAGTTCCGAGTACAGTACTGTACTCACATTGCAAAGAATTAGGGGATTGTTGGCTTTCTTCGGCGAGATGACAGCGAAACCATAAAGTTTACGAATGACTCAATTAAAAGAGAGGTAGCGATGAAAGGGCAGAAACAGTACCGGTAGCAGATAGACCTATCACCTATCATACAAATAATGCTCGTTCGGCTGCCTCACCCTTTCACAGCAAACCGGGACTGGTACCGGTACATGTAGCGGTGCTCCGAGCTCCGAGTTCCGAGTCACGTGGTAAAGCATTAAGGGACTCTTGGTAGCTTTCTAGGTTAACACTTCGTTGAGCTATGCGGTTCTAAAAGCATTACTTATACTTTGTTGTGATAAGTCGAATCGAGGAAGAAACCATTGACAATGACACAATGACACCGACTCATGGCTCCTGCAAGTTGATGCCTTAATTAAATTAAATACAGAGAGAAAAGCCTCTGGGTGAATGTGCCGTTTAGAGTACCGCTTTACCCTTTACTTTACCTGGAAGGCACCATGTTTCAGCGAGGATACACATGCAAAAAGCTTCAAAGTCGCGGTAGTCGCGATAGTCGCGATAGTCGTGGTAAATAGTCGTTGTTAAGTCGCGGTGCGCGACTATCGCGACTTTTATAGTCGTTCTAAAGTCGCGGTGCATTACTAGTAAATAACACGGAGAAGTCGCCTTTAAGTCGCGTTGCGCGACTATCGCGACTTTTATAGTCGTTCTAAAGTCGCGGTGCGCGACTTTCACGACTTCCGCGACTTTCGCGTCTACCGTGACTTTGAAAGCTTTAAGCCGACTTCAACCGTAAACCTGGAGCCTTCCTGATACTGGTATACATGTTGGAAAGGTACCGTACCGGTTACTAGTAGGTAATGTACGGCAAGCCCGGAATTTGCACTCGAGCACGAGACAAAAATGAAGCAGCTTTTTTCACGAAAAGAAGTCAAAAAGTGATCATCACCCCATCATCATCATCATCATCAAAGCACACAGTTCCGCAACAAGCAAACGCTGCATGGCACTGTTGTGGTATCTCGTCTTGACACTATTACGGCAGAGAAGTAGGCAGAGCCATGAACACGGAAATTTTTCTGCAGTCACTGAAGCGGCATGAAGGAAAGTTGTTTGGCCGAGACGAGGAAGTGCAGCAGCTCCATGCCATCTTTGAAAAGGCAGTGTCAGAGCCGAGTGTGAACAATGCCTTTGCTGTCTTTCTGCACGGATATTCTGGTAGTGGCAAGTCCATGCTGATCACTCATGCACTTCAACACAATATGCCCGAAACGGGCTACTTCGTTTATGGCAAGTACGACCAGCAGCGCTCTTCAAGGCCATATGCGGCACTGACTGATGCTTGTCATGACCTGTGTGTGCAATTGTTGACAAGAGAGAAAAATGCACACAGAGAAACTGATTTAAAATCCAAGCGAGAAAAGGCCATTGAAGAGTTGGAGGAAACACTAGTCAACGACTTCCTCCTGCTCAGTGAACTCATTCCCGAACTGGGCACTCTACTACCAGCACTGCAAGCTGCTGCAGGGGGGGCAGTGGTCCCGGGAACGTTCCAATTCGATCGGCTCAAAACAGCCCTCATCAACTTTCTTGCCTCGGTGGCACAAAACATTCCTATTGTACTCTTTCTTGATGACATTCAATGGTCTGATGCTGCCAGCATTGACATACTCAGGGGACTCTTGAAACCGGTGGAAGAATGTACCAGCAAAGTCAAGCTGCTGCTTGTTGGCGCCTACCGAGACAATGAGCTCACATCGGGGCACCCCCTTTACGAGCCTGTTTCTACACTGGAGAAAATGTCAAACGCGTCCAAAATCCATGTTTCTGACTTGACACATCAGAGTTTGAATCTCTTCATTGCCAGTTTGCTCAAGTATGAAGAAACACCAGATGTGACGCTGCAACTATCCAAAAAAATGCATGAACGTACCCATGGCAACATATTCTTTGTGCTTCAGTTCTTAGAAATGCTTGTCACCACAGAGATACTTCAATTTAGCTTTGTCACCATGAAGTGGGGATGGGATGAAATAAAACTTCTTGAACAGACAAATGCTACTGCGAATGTAACTGATCTGCTTGTGACCAGACTGCGCAGGCTCCCGCCAGATACAGCATTGGCCCTTATCATTGCTTCCCAGTTGGGAAACCGATTTGACGCTATGATGGTTGGTTATATTCTCAAACAATGGCAGGATCACACTGAGGGAAATTTGGACAAAGACCTTTCTGCTAGTAGAATTTTGCACTTTGACCCAGGGGAGGCCAAGGAGGATGAGGGGGAGAAGGATGATGATTCCCTAGCATTTTTGAAACTTCCAATCCAAGAAGGGTTCATCGTGGCCATGGACAACTTCTCTAGTGGAAGCTGGTATCGTTTTTTGCATGATAAAATACAAAGTTCCGCGGCAGCCTTGGTCTCCAATGAAAAACAGAAGAGTGAGCTCAGGATAAGGCTCGGAACTCTTCTTCTGGAACTCAACAACCGGATCCAGCGTCAGCATGAGAAGGAATCCAAGTTGCAACTGCCTCAGCAAGAGCTTGTGAATCCACAGGTGACTGTATCTGCTGTGACCAAGGCAAAGAACAAAGCACGCAAGAAGACTTGGGTCGTGTTGAGCGGTGTTGACTTGCTCAACATGGAAGTTGACTCCATCAGTTGCCACAAAAAGAGGCTGGAACTGATCCGAGCCAACTTAGGTGCTGCCAGGATTGCCGCTTCCCAGAGTGCCTTCTTCCCTGCAGCTGATTACATGTGCCAGGCGCAATCCTTGATCAACCACCGTTTGCTTTGGGACCGGTACTATGATTTGGCACTTGAGGTCTTCACGTATGCCTGTGAAATGGCATACTGTTGTGGTGATGCCAAGGAGTGCTTAAAACTCTATCAGAAAGTCAGAGGTTACAGGAAGTCTCAAGAGGACTCTTGGAAGGCATCTTATATTGCAATGAAATCGCTTGGATCTGAGGCAAGGTATGCAGAGAGCGCTGATATTGCATTTGAGGTGCTCAATGAAGCTGGTTTTGTCATCCCCATGACTGGGGCTACCCCTGAAGATGTTGGGATGGCTTTTGAGAAAATGCTGAGCGAGCTGTCCAAGGTGACTGATCAAGAAATCTTGAGAATGGAAGAAGAAGCCATCGATGATGTCTCAGCATTGATCTGGAACATTTGCTCGGCTAGTGCGTTGTTTGTCTGGCACGCAAATAGACCCCTGGATCACACCTTCATTTGCTGCAACATGACCTTGCGCACCTTGAGGCTTGGTCTTAGTGAGTACACCGGACAGTCATTTGCCCTCCAAGCCATCTCTTGTGTAGTCATGAATCACTTTGATTTGGCAAAGCGTCTACATGGTCTATGGTCGCATCCTGAAATTGTGCAACGCTTTACTGGACATGAGGTAGAAGCGGGAACCATGGCTGCTGGGAATGCCTGTTCTGGGCACATGTTTTGGCCCTTGCCCCGTGTGGCTGATGGATTCCTCAAAGGCTACACTTCAGGCATGAAAACGGGTGCCATTGAGTGGGCCATGACAGATGCTGGATGTTTCATGCTAACACAGTTCCTGGCGGGGACTCCATTACCTGTGTTTGAAACTGATTGTTGGGTCTTTGTTAGGGAAATGAAGAAGTATGGCAATCGAATTCATCGCCCAATGTGTGAAATGTACCTTCAATGTGCACTGAACCTCATGGGCAAAGCTGATGGTTCGTCTTTGACAATACTCAAGGGAGAAGCCACAAAGGAGTACCGTATGGAGCTCATCATGCAAGGCAAAACCCCAGATGAGTTTCCAGTGAATGTAGCATGGTTTGCTCAGTTGATGCTATCATACTATTTTGAAGACTTTGAAACAGCAGTGGACATGGCAGTGAGACATGAAGACTTTGGTGGCTTGGATTGGCCCTTGGTTTGGTCTGTCTCACATCCCTACTTTCGCGGTTTGGCATATGTGGCAAAATACCGCTTACTGAATGCTAGCAAGTCCACCGCTTGCTGTGGTTGGTTCACCAAGCGCAAGGAGGCCACCTTTTACTTCAAGCGGGCAATGAAGCAACTGGATATGCTGAAGCTATACGCTGAGAATGGCCTGATCAATGCAATTCACATGTACAAAATTCTGCAAGCTGAAGTTGCATCAGTGTCACCTGGATCGGATCCCAAAGAAGTGGTGGGCTTGTATGGTGATGCAATCCGCAGTGCTGCAAGGAGTGGTTTCCGTCAAGATTCTGCCCTTGCTGCAGAGCGGTTGGGTGTCTATACAATGGCTTTTGACAAGGTAACCGCAAAGTTTCGAATTGAGTCAGCAATTAGTGACTACACTCAGTGGGGCGCAAGCGCAAAGGCTGATTTGTTGCGATCGAATTATCCCGATCTGGATTTGCCAGATGAAGATGAGATGAGTGCTAGGTCCACATCTTCAGCAGGCTCCTCGCGTCGCCATCGAGTTTCTGCTTTCTCAGCAGACTCAAAGCACCAGGCTGTCAACTTGACTGCTGAAATCTGTGATTAGTCTTGACACAGCAGATACCGGTAGCAAGGGGCTCGCTTTGGGGCCGCCCGTCTACAACCAATTTTTGCTTTTTATTGAGGTAGGAAATTTCAAACCATAATTCCATTTTTATACGCTTTCGCATCGTGAACACTGTTCCATCTGCCTGCTACAAGCGAAGTCAAAACTCTTGGGACGAAGCCAAGGTACCGGTACCTCGGAACCATTTTGAAGAGATAACAGCCTCTTTGTTTCAGCTGGGCGCATCAGCTCGAGCCTGGAGCATCAGAGTGGACACTACGAGACTGATTTGTAGCTTCCGGTAGCTAGCTGCCTACCTTGACCATCATCAAGAAACTATAAACCTGACGGGCAATGCACTTATTGACTACCCCTATTCATTCGCACATTGTGACCCCTCGAAAGACAAACTGTCGCAGCCACCAATAGCAAGGATTGACCTGAACGTGTTCTTTCGGTTCCGGTGGTGGAAAGGTCGACACAACCCCCCACCTACGTCCGGATCTGCGGCAAGGGTGCATGGCCAGCCAGTACGGTGGTGATTACTACTACTAGCTAGCTAGTGATCTGTGGGCCGTCAGAGCCAGAGCCCGAACCCTGATATTTCGATCTGACGTCAGTCACGCAAAAGCCTGCCTGAGTGGTGGCCAGCGGGACTGTCCGCGATTGTCCACTTTCCACTTACTTGCCTCCAAGGTCTCGACAATCGACAACACTTCAAACAACAACCGTCAATTGAGAGAGTATTATCATGTTGCGCCTGGTACTGGTACCATTGTTGTATCTTTTCGTCACTGCTGTCCTTTCGTTTTGGACGAGGCCGACGTGGGCTTTGACAGCAGTTCTCCCAAAGCAGTCTCCAACCGATGAGGCACTGCACAAATGGTGTGACGAGCTGAATATTGGCATTAATCCTTCGGCAAAAGTTCTCACAACATCCGCAAGCGTCGCTGGAAGAGGCGTCTTTGCCGTCAATCCTGTTGCCAAGGATGAGATTGTTGCTGTGATTCCAACCTACACCATGTTTCATCCTCAAAATGCCGCCAATATGTTCCCACAGACGGCCACCGCACTCAAGGAGCGAGCTCAGCAAATCCAACAGTGCGAGGACAACAAAAACAGCGAGAAGAAACCAAGAAAGTGGTTTTCAAGATTGCTGCGTCGAGTGTTTCGAAGAAAGGCTTCATCAGACCAAGAGGAGATTCCATGGCAAGCCGAGCTCACGGAATATGCCCTGACTGCGGTGGAAACAGATCATGTTTTTGCAACTTGGATTCGTCAATGGAATCGTGATGATCCCGTGTTGAAACTGTTTGAAAGTGGAAAAGCCAGTCGAGATAATCCAGCAGCGCTCGAAGCCACGGCAGGGGAACTCAGCACGATGGTTCCCCTTATGCCCTTGTACAAGATCTTGGCGGCTCTAACGATTCGCGTGGAACAGTGGGAGCATCATCGACAATTTCTTAGTAACAACGCCGATGCCAAAGAAGCAGTATCCATGTACACAACACTCTGTTCTCGAACCATCGGTGTGGCCGAGGAAATCGTTGCTGTGGTCCCGTTTCATGACATGATCAACCACTCTTTCGAGCCCAACTTGGGGCTGGCCTTTTCCGAAGATGAAACTTCCATGGAGATTTATGCTTTGAAGGACGTGCCAGCGGGGCAAGAATTGCTGTTTAGCTATGCTGCCATTGGGAAGGAATATGATGAAGATGCAGCATTGTGGATGTTGGTGCAGTGGGGTATACCCGTAACAGAATCCGAATGGAAAGTCACCACACTCGGGTAAGACGCGACGCGATCACAGCGTGCAAGGACCACAACAACTTCATCATCTGTAGATACCGGTAGATTGTCAGCCAACCATCATTCAATCAGCCTGTATGCAAGTCTTTTAGCTTCATCCCACGAACACGTTTTCTCTTCAAAGTTGTCCCTGTTCACTTTGCTCGCTTCTTCCTTGACTCTGTCTTGCTGCAAGAAAGTATCCAAAATAATCCTTTGAAACAGCGCCGGTTCTTCTCGATCTGGAAAGTGACCGCTTTCTTCCATCCACACCAACCGCTTCCAGGGTGCCTGAATTGAATTGAAAAAACCATCCACCAGGTCGAGCACCACCATGCGATCATAACGGCCATGAAGGAACAAAATAGGAACCTCTAACTTGCCTTCTATTGCTCTGTAGGCATCGTATTTCACAAGTAATTCCTCCATCAATTGCGCATGTCTCTCGGTAACACCTTCCAAACCGAAGCTTGTCTCCCCAAGAAAACTCGGGTGCCAAGAGAAGATGTACGGCATAGTAGAGCAATTGTGACCGAAAACGCAATTGTGGAATGTAGCGCGTGACGGTGGCTGGAAGCGGATCCTTGTAAAAGACCCCCCCAGCCCGGTTGAGCCATTGACGCTGCAGCACCAGTTCGTCGACGGACTTGTAGGGCGGCATTGGAATGTTGGCCGTCGGAAATTGATGCAGAATGAATTCTCGACTGATGAGCTCGTTGGAGAGTCCATTGACCAACGTCCCATGGACGGCCACAAAGTGGAATAAATCGGGCTGCTGTTTGGCGGCCAACAGCGACAAGACAGAGCCCCAACTTCCACCCATCAAGTAGACTTTTTCTTGATGAAACTTCTTTTGCAAGTATTGTACAATTGCCACGGCATCGTCCACATGTTGTTGAATGGTCAAATTGTTGTGGCTCGCAAAGTTGTTGTTGCTGCTGTTGCCGTAGTATCGACATGACTTTCCTGCCGATCGTTGGTCGTAGTGTACCACAATAAAGTGCTCCTCTAGCAGATAGTCACTGCCATAGAGAAATGGAATATCGGACCAAGCAGGTCCACCATGAAGAATCAAAAGAACCGGAGCTTGATGAGATGCAACGTCTGCCTGTGACATGGCAGTGCGAATGGTCAGGGCATGATGGTGGCCGTTCACGGCCTCGGTAGTAAGATTGGCCAGAGTTAGAACTTTCCCAGAATAGAGAGAGACGCTCCGTGTGTACGCATGTTCCCATGATAAAGCCAGATAGACAACGATCCCAATGATGAGGAACAGGAACCTCATTTGGGTACTAGCTAGTATCGGCAAAGCCTTCACTCTCTCAAATATACTATACAATAGAGAAATTACTACCGGTTAGAGTGGACTACCGTATGCTCATGATGGGTTTCAGAGGACGGGAGCAGGATGGAAGGGCACAACCAAAGAAGGAAAGGGTGGCAAGGGAGGAGGGTGGAGAGGATCAAAGGACAAAGACTACTACTACTGTACGGTAGTAGACTCGACTCTATCAATGCATGCAAGGGGACGCAGCCAAGAGGACAGTCGTAACGGTACCGTACGGTATGGAAGGATAGATGGGAGGACAAAAAGCTTCTCGTCTGGTGTTGTTCGTCTTCCTCGTGGACGGGGAGAGATTGTACAGTCAACATTCAGATATATATACAGGGGGGGATTCAGGAATCCAGTAAATATAACAGTGTGTCTAAATATAGAGCGTTACTGCTACTAACCACTAGTAAAGAACGAGTGGAGAGTGCCATCACGTTTGCGTTTCCAGCCCTTGTCGCCCTGCCATATTCAAGGCTCTGGCAAACCTATCAAGATCGCACAGTAGCAGCTTGGTTGATACCCAAGCTGGAGGCACATTTCGGACAGCTTATTGAGCGCTCTTCAGCTTCGGCAAATGAGGCAAACACCTCGCAGGTTCGAGTAACACTCCATCAGTTCAGGCTCCTCAACATCAAGGACAGCCAGTTCGGCTTCGGTTGTTGTCTGTCTTCCAAGCTCTTCTATCTCCTCGTCGATGGTTCACTGATTACTTCAGGCTCATTTCAATTTCAATCCAATCTCCCATCTGTGTTGGAGGAAACATACCTGACACCCCTTTACTATATTGACTCGTGTATTAATCATCTAGTCCGGTCGCATGTAAATCGATCATGCAAGGAACCAAGGGAGTTTTAGGTCTAAAGTGTTGCGGGGGTCCTTATATCCAATTCAATCACAAGAATTGCTATGCACCACCAGAAATCCTCACTTTTGCTTTCAGCTTAATCCAAAACCAATTTACTCCCCAATAAGCTGCCGTTTTACTAGCTAACACTGTAAAGCAAAAGGCCATCTCGAGCTACTACCGATCTCGAGATGATATCAAGTAAAACATACAAGTCAAAGTTGTATTGAGTTAACACCTGCAACAGAGGAGAGGTGCGAAAATACTGCACACAGCTACACTATAAGAGCATCGAAAGGCATCTAACAGGAAAAAGGTGCGGGGGAAGAAAATCCCATC